GGAGAGAGAGATTTATTTACACACGCGCTGCGGAGGCGCACACACGGCGGCGCGCAGGGCCGGAGACAGCAGGCGAGATGGACGGCAGAGAGTGAGTATCCTTACCGCGGGCCGGCTCCCGTTCGGCTCCCGTTCGAGCCGGACCGGGCTGAGCCGTTCATGTTCCGGATGCCGACAGCGAACCCACCCCTGTTGGCGATACGAGCCCCCGCCCGGCAGACCCCGTCACCCCCTGGATGCCGGCTGGAAGCAGGATTTTCCGCTTCGCCCCCTCCGCCGCGCGCGCGCAGCCCGTGTCGCTCCCGGGACCGCTCGTGCGGCTCCGTGGGGCGCGCGCTGCGGTCGGACGAACGCGCTCGCCGGGGCTCGTGCGGCGCTCTCGCCGGGACCGGAGCCGCTGTCAGACCCGCGGGAACCCACGAGCACCCGGCGGCTTCTAATCCTCCACGTTAACGAGAAAGTTGTTTGTTTTTTTCCGCTTCATTTCAGGACAGGTGTTTGTCTTTTTAACCCTGTATCCAATCCATCTACATTTTAATCTGAAAGTGGGATCCGTATAATGTTTTAAACCCCCCTGCGATATGTGTCGCCTGTTGAGAAACTGCAGATACAGTTCGCTAGGAATTACGGATTAAGTCGGACAAAGAAATGTTTTGGCCGGTTTTCAGTGTCGAACATTTCCATTTTACTGTGCGCTCTGTGTAGATGAGGTTTACATTCTCATGCAGATAGTGTCTTCTGCGTTTTCTTTTTCTGTCGGAGCACAATTGTGTCGTCTTTTCACTCGCTCGGCGAGACGGAACTGCTTTTTCTGGTCACCATGGCAGTCTCCCCTTTCTGTCACAAGCCCTGGCGGATGGATCCGACTCGGCCCGCCCCTTCGGCAGCCGGCGGGGAGTGCTGCGGCCCGGCGGCGGCGGCGGCGGAGGGATCTGCGGCGCGAGGGCGAGGGAGGAACGGTCGCAAAACAAAAGAGGCGAAGCGGCTCCGACTCGATGCCCGAGCGCGCGACTGCGAGCGAGCCGTGTGGGGCGCGTGTCGGTCCCCCGTGCGAGTCCGAGTCCTAGGGAGAGCGCGAGAGCAGCCCGCGTGGAAACTTTCAGAGCAGAGAAGAGGAGTCGAACAGCCCCCCCCGCCCGCAGCCCGGCGGACCGGCCCCGGAGAAGCCATGGAGCGGAAAAGGTGGGAGTGCGCGGCTCTCCCCCGGGGCTGGCGGAGGGAGGAGGTGACCCGGAGGTCAGGGTTGTCGGCGGGGAAAAGCGATGTCTATTACTTTAGGTACTGAGCGAGGGGCGGCCGGGGAGTCTCGAGGAGGAGGAAGGGGGGGAGATCACGCGGACGGGTTTGCAGGGATAAGTATGGGGGGCTCGCGGGGGATCGGGGTTCCCTCTTCGCGTGCACGGGAGAGGAAGAGGCGAGTCGGGGGGAGGGGGGCTCGCGGTGCGGGAAGCGAGTGTGCAGCGCCGAGGAGGAGGAGGAGGAGGAAGAGGAAGAGGGGGCGGTCGTGTTTGCTGTCCGGGAGCTTCGCCGCGCGGGTGGGAGCAGGCGGCTCGCGCCGGGAGGGAGCGCGTGTGCGCCGGCCTGGCTCCGGGGAACCTGCGCGAGAGAAGCTCGCCCGAGTTCTCGCGGCGCTGTCACGTGTGACAAGAGTTCCTGTCGCGACCGAGGCGCGCGGTGCGGGAGGCAGGTTCGGCCCTGTGACCGCGCGCGGCGGAGGGAGGGGGACCCCAGCTGTCAGACCGGTGTGGCGATCAGGGGTCCCCCCGGTCGAACCTCCTTGTGCTGCGTCCTTCCTGTGTCCCGTTGTTAGCCCAGGGGTCCCTGCGCCCTGTTGGGGGGGGAGAGGCTGCGTCCCCGTCCCCCCCGTGTGAGTGTACCCCACTCTGTGTGTCAGTGTCCCCCCTGTGTGACTGTACCCCTGCGCCCCACTCTGAGTGACTGTGCCCCACTCTGTGTGTCAGTGTCCCTCCTGTGTGACTGTACCCCTGCGCCCCACTCTGTGTGGCAGTGTCCCCCCTGTGTGGGTGTACCCGGCTCTGTGTGGCTGTGTCCCCCCCGTGTGGCTGTGTCCCCCCTGTGTGGTTGTACCCTGCTCTGTGTGTCGGTGTCCCCCCGTGTGGCCGTACCCCTGCGCCCCGCTCCGTGTGTCTGTGCCGGTCTGTGCCTGCGAGGGTGTGAGAGCTGCCAGCTGCGGTGCGGCGCTGTAACGTGTCCCCCTGCCCCGCAGCCCCACAGGGAAGAAGTTCCGCAGCAAGCCCCAGCTGGCCCGTTACCTCGGCAACTCCATGGACCTCAGCTCCTTCGACTTCCGCACAGGGAAGATGCTGATGAGCAAACTGACCAAGAACCGCCAGCGGCTGCGCTACGACACCAGCAGCCAGGCCAAGGTGAGGGGGTCTGGGGGGG